AATCCAATAATAAATGAAGTCAAGCTTGTAAAAGTGTTTTTTTTACTACATCCACTTGCTTTTCATTATGTTACAGGTAAAATGTTCTAATAAATAAAGAACACTAAATCCCTCCCTTTGTATTTTATGGGATATGTTCCACATTTATTCATTTAAAATTTTACATTAAATATTTTTATTTCAGTTACATCAAAGTATCAGTCTTTTGTTCTGTACTGATAACATATATGGGTGTGCATTATGAATTAACATGTCCACTCAGTCCCTATCTTCATTTGAAGATGCTTTTTTTTCTTTCTGTAAGGAGCTTCTTGCTGTCAGCCCTGCTGTTTCCATAGATCAGCAGAGCAGTGGAGAGATCCTTTAGCCGACCATATATTTTGAATTGCAACTCCCATAATCCCTTTCTATTGGCTATGCTATCAGAAGCTCTCAAAGGTTGAAATCCAAAGTGGAAGTTTCCTTAGGCCCATGTTCACAGTTTTCTTTCTACAATATTTGCTTTCATATGTGGCAGACAATAAAATGTGACCCCTTCATTTCTGTTGAAGCACTTTCAAAATCACTGCCATTTCTGTTTTCATTACCCACAAATAATAAATCACATCAGTTTTAAGAATATCAACAGGGGAAAAAAACCACATCACTATCCCACTATGAACAATCATTACTGGTGTTTAGAATCACTTTTCAAGCCCATAAATATGATGAACATTTTTAATAATTTCACCACCACAGCTGAAAGCACCACAGGATGGGAACTGCATTAAGTTATGGGCTTTAAGGATGAGCTAGTTAGCTTTGAAAACATCATGTCTCTCCGAATTATTCAATTCCTAGGTCACAAGGAAGACTTGAGCACTGAAATGTCCCCATTGTTGCTACCTTTACAGCTAATTCTAGCATTCGGAAACTTGGAAACCTCACTTTTTTTGTACTAGAACCAAAGTCTCACAACCAGTAGCTGTACTGGTGGAGGGAATCTAGGTGTGTGTTCAAAAAAAGTAAGATTTCTGAGTTCTGACTATAAGCTACATAGAAATAATGAAAAAAGAAGAAGCTCCCTTACTTTAAAACTATGTAGAACAATGGGAGATAAAGGCAAAACAAAAAGGATATAATACAACACAATAATAAAGTACAAAGAACATAGTTTCAGGAGGAGACCTCTCTGACATCTAGTACAAGCAGGTTCCCCTTGACATTTTTAGTCCAGTCGTGTCCAACTCTAGGGGGCGGTGCTCATCCCATTTTTCAAGCCGTAGAGCCAGCGCTTGTCCGAAGACAGTTTCCGTTGCCACGTGGCCAGCGTGACTAAGGGACACCGTTTTACCTTCCCACCGAGGTGGTACCTATTTATCTACTCGCATTTACATGCTTTCGAACTGCTAGGTTGGTGAAGAGCTGGGACAAAGCAACGGGAGTTCACTCCGTTGTGTGGATTCAATCTTACGACTGCTGGTCTTCTCACCCTGCAGCACACAAAGGCTTCTGCAGTTTAGCCCACAACGCAACCAGTTCAGTAAACAATATCACCCAAAAGCTTGGTAGAACTAGAATAAGCTCTGGTTTTAAACATCATCCTGTCTTGCAATTTAAAGAAAGGGATAAAGGGGATTAGAGAGTGAAGTAAGTTGCAGGGGTGTGATGAGAAAGCAATAAGATCAAAGAAACAATTGTGCACCAAATAAAGAAAAATGCTTTTAAAAAAGCAGAGATTTAGAGCAGGAACAAAGACTATGAAGAAAACATGTTGGAGAAAGGGTTGGAAAGGAAATTTCATGAGGAGTGGCTTGAGGAGAAGAAATGCAATCCAAATGACTGTTGGGATAGCAGTGACAGGGAAAAACTGATGGAAATAAGGACCATGCATAGGAACCATTCTGGAAGTGCTGCTCCTCATGCAAAGGATAGTTAGTGATCCTTTGTATGCTTATCTGGCAGGAAGCAACACTGAATGATTCTTACTTCTAAGCAGACATACATCAGGCTGCACTGACCTAAATGCGCTCACTAGTCCCAACTAGAGTAAACCAATTGAATCAATATGACTTGCATTAGTGCTGATTTACCATTCCACAATGGATTCAGTACTTTGCCCACTTCCTAAGCAAAGGTGGCTGTGCTCAGTACCTCTTCATGAAATATTTCCTGAGCACTTGAAGATTATGAATGTAGACCTTCCCTTCCACATTCACTTACAGCCCTCTTGGAGCTCCCACCACTGTCTAGCTTTAGATTCTTTGAGGCAGCGCTAGAGGTTAGTTATTTTGTAAGGTCCACATAGCCTACAGCAGGCACAGGGGAGATAAAGCACACCATATATAGTTGGACTGCAGCTGTTATCACCCTTCATCACTGGATATGCAAGGCATATAAGAGTTGCAGGACATCTAGAGGGCCACAGATTCCCCAGCATATGGGAAAGACATGCTGGGGAAACAATGAAAGCATCCAAATAATGAGGCTGACGTACGGACACTGACCTCTGAAAAGGTAGGTTGATTGAAGTTCATTAATGTTGACATTTGGCAGGAGAAACAGGCAAGAAAGCTGGAAAGGCAGTAATGATGAGAAGGAAGGCAATGCTAGTTCCTAAAGCCAAGTATAGGTTCTGAAAGTACAGGACTTAATTCACAAGGTGAAAGCTCTTCTGCTCTTTGTTGACATTGTGCTAGTCAAATATGAAAATATTGTAAAGGAATTATTAGTAGCAACACTGTATTTGCCTGACTGGCTCATATGCTCTTGAAGTTCTATGTCCCAGGTTCTTTGTTTGAGTGCCGCTTTAGCATCAACATGCCCTATTGTCAAAAGAACGTTGCTGGAAAAACCCATTTGCCTTATTATTTTTGTAAGTTGGAGTTTCCATTCTGACTGAAAGGAGTCAAAAAGGGACATCTGTGCCAAGCCTTCTGAAGAGAAGATAAGCTTTAGCCAGTAATTAAACATAAGGAGTTTGACACATGCTCTTATGGTAGTTAGGCCAGCCTCCAAACGAAGGGCTACATTAGGAGTACAGGAGGGTACAGTCAGAATAGATCTCAATAATTTGGTTTGAACATCCTCAAGAGGACATAGGTCAGATAAAGCAAACAACTGACACCCGTAGAGCAGTGGTCCCCAACCTTGGGCCTCCAGATGTTCTTGGACTTCAACTCCCAGAAATCCTGGCCAGCAGAGGTGGTGGTGAAGGCTTCTGGGAGTTGCAGTCCAAGAACATCTGGAGGCCCAAGGTTGAGGACCACTGCCGTAGAGCATTTGAGCAACAACTTTAGCCTTGAAAACCTGGACAGCTGAGGGGATATGGTGATCTCCTTTGGTGTGAAAAAATCTTGTTAACGCCACTGCACTTTTAATGAGCATTCAGTGTTGCATGCTTTATGTGGGGGGCCCAGGAACCCAAGGCATGAAAGATTATGCCCAAGTGTTTGTAGCTGGAAACCTGCTCTATGGGATGACCATTGATAACCCAATTGTGCTTCACTCTTCTTCTCCTGACCATGAGAACTCTGGTCTTTTGGTAATGAATTAGTAGCTGCTCTCTTTAACAGTAGGAAGAAACAGTAGGTTGTACATTTTTAAATTGCATTTTGTATCTTGGAGCCATAAATATGTTTTATGAGCTGGTCACCTGATTGTAATAAATAAATTCATCCAATTTGCAAGGTGGGCATTTTCCACTCTGAATTTGATGATGACAGAAAACAAGGTTCCTTCATATCCCTGCACACAATTCCCTCCACAGCCTAAAAAGATGGGAAGATCCTCATTCCCATTCATGAAGATCTAGATTAGGAAAATGGTGTGTAATAGAAAAAAGCATGTAGATGATGTCTACCTCGGGAGGGGAGTTTTTCCTTCCTTTCATCATCTTCTCTTCACTCTGTAAAGCCACATTTTACCCCAGCCAGGACTGCAAGGGTATATTTGGAAGAGCAGATCTTCATCCTGACCATCCCCATAGTCAGGCAGCTCCCCCCTACTCCCACAGAGAGTTCTAAAATGCAGGAAACTGAACTGATCCATAAGAATAAATGAGGAAATGACTCACCATGGCCTGCTCTAGACCAACCATCCTACAATACCTCAGGTATTGCTTGCAGCAATGTATTGGTCCTGGGGAAATCCATCTCTCCTCCTGCTGCTGCTCTGAAGACTGCAGCAGAACTCAGAAAGGTCAGAGAAGCTGTCCAGAGGGTGATGGCAAATGATGCCAGTGCCCCTGCTCCCTGGAAAGCACCCAGAGATTGGACCCTGCAGGCCTTGCCTCCACTATACCACTGCCCCCTGCACAGGGAATACAACCCTGCCTTGTGCCCCAGCTACATCCCTTTCTTCCCCCCACCCCTCCCTGGAAAACCTGTCCCATCTTTCTTTCTCCTTGGCCAGGGAGCCGCCTTCCTGAGAAGTAACCCTAGCTCCTGAACGCTACTGTGGGGTGGGGGCCCCCTACAATTGCGGTGGCTTACATTGTACCCCTTTACAAGCAAAGAGAGAAACACAGTTCAGTGTGGTCAGACCTGCATTGCTGAGAGATGGGGGGGGAGAGAGATTGAGAGAGAGATAAGACATCTTTACCAGCCGCCTACTCCCTTATTCTGAAATTTAACAGTC